TTTCAGCCCAATTAAAAAATTACAACATAAAAAAGTGCAATCAAAAATTCTTCATTTCCTTGTAGTTAAACAGCTGGACTGAAATACTACATATTGCATCATTTCATTTGTGTAAATCAGTCTGAAAATGTGTTTAACAACAATGGCAGATACAATGAAGCGCATTGAAGTGGTAAAATTTTCCATTTGGACAAAACGTTCTGAGTCATGTTTTGAACGTCAATTATAACATAACGACACGCCCATTTGCTTTTTCGTTGTTACATTTTGGGTTATTTTATATTTGCATTGAAGACAGCGCAAAATGTAATATAGCAATATGTAATAAAACAAATATTATTAATCACTGTATAACTATGGACACGCAGAAACAATCCATTTTATTATTGGAGAGAAAGAAAGAGAGAATTTCGTTTTGCAGGCTTGCAAGGCACGTGATTTGTATGGAAAAGTATGGAATCATAATATTGTCAAACCCTCTTCCCGCTAAATATTTACGCCTGTCAGTAGAAATGAATACTCTTTTTTCTAGATTTATCGCATTTGTCTATCAAAATGCAAAGGTACACTGGTCAATAGAATGACACCCCCTTCCAACAACAACAACACCCCCCCCCCCCTGCATGCATGTTTCATATTTTGCAACGCCGTTAATTTGAATATTAAACTCATTTTCAATACATGTAGCTAATTAAATAGATATTTATTTAGTATAATGTTTCATTTTCCTTTCTTCTGTCACTACTGTTTTGAAAATTGTACTCAATCTGAATGACAAAAATGTGTGCTATTACAATTTGTTTTCTTGCCTTTTGCTTAATCTTCACGAAAATTGTAACAACGCAAAATGTAATAATCCAAAAATCGCATTTTTTCATTTTGCGTTATTACGTTTTGCGTTGATCTCGACGCAAAATGTAATAACGCAAAATGTACATGTAATAATCCTCAAAGTGTAACAATCTGGGTTTATTACATTTTGCGTTGTAACAACACTGCTTACCTTCCTATCAAGATTAAGGATTTTATTTTTTATGTTTGTGGAGAGGGGGTGGATTTGCAGCTCTAATCTGGATTTGATTTAAATAAGAAGTGTCCAGTCAACATGTACACAAACCGCGTCGTACACAAAAAGTCCACTCGTACATACTGTAAATCAGAAGTCAACTTGTACACAAATCAGAAGTCAACTTGTGCACAAATTAGAAGTCAACTCGTACACAACGTTTTATTTACAATTGTTAGTTTTTATATGAATAATGTGCAAGAAACATATATTGACGCAAGCGTCAAAAATCGGCCGCAGATCAATTAATTGTTCCTTTCATGAAGTAATTATAGAAACTGAAATTTGCGTGTCCTGTTATCAAAATTTCTTTTATTTATCTGTTAAAATATCTCCTTGACATGAATCACTTCCTACGACATTGACGATTTTCTTCATGAATATTACATGTATATAGATCTCGGATGGAAGTTTGATGTTTATGTATAGTTTTTACCTAAAAAGTACAAAACTAAAGTTTAAACTTAGCTATAACTATAGATAGCTTTACTTTCATAAAAACGCAACAAATATGTGGGCTCCTCGCTAGCTCTCAGAAGATGTTAACCACCACCCCCTCCCCAACTCCCTTTTTGTTTTGGTGTTGAGATGTGGCGGGAAATGCCAAGGCTTATTGTAAAACGCGCTTTATCCTTGTATCCTGGACCAAAATCTCGTACGATTCTGTGCTTATAAGAAAACAATATTTCATCATATTTTTGAAAATTTTCCATAGGAAATGTATAAATATGCACGTTATTTTAAAATAAATACAATAAATCCTGTTGAAAAAAGAGAAAGTAAAATTGTTGATATACAATGCGGTCTTTGTTTTAGACTATTCCTATCACTCTTGCTAATTTTTTCCGCACTTCTGTCATGTCACAGTTTGACAATCAGGATTGGATGAAACATTTACCCATTATTTATAAAATTTTAATTGTATGATTATTGTGCTTTTTGTTAAACATTTAGACAATCTTTGTTTAATATTCTACAATATGAATGTTAAATATTTTTATTTAATAAATTGTTTTAACTCCGCAGAAACGCACGACGACTTCAAACTTTCATATCAAACAAGTTTATCTTTTAAAAAGATAAGTGAGCTAGAGCCGTAGCATTTTTTAAACACAGAAAGGAAGATCCGTGATCAAGTGATTTATTTTGCTGAATTCTTTAATTTTTATCAAGGCTGGAGAGTGATAAAATTATTATTCTGTGAGGAGTATTTTGTAGAAACAAAGGTTAAGAAATAAGGGGGGACCTATTGGAGTTTTGGCGCAGCGGAACATATGTGACCTTTACTAGAGGGGGGGGGGGGGGGGCTCTATATAATATGAAGAAGACGCCGATTGAGAAAAATTGCATGTATGAGCTGATTTAAAGAAGGGAATTTCTTGGCAATGTAGCAAAGAAAATACATGGGAGCTGAAAGGAATATAGAAAATAACT